TCCCCTGGGTGCCTGGGTGGCTCAGTTGGTTAAGAGGCTGCCTTCAGCTCAGGTCGTGATCCCAGGGTCCTGGGATCAAGTCCAACATTGGGCTCCCTGGAGCCTGCTTCTCCCTCTGCTTCTGCCCCTCCTCCCTGCTCCTGCTTTCTCTCTCTCTCCGTCAAATAAATAAGATCTTTTTTTTTTTTATTTACCTGAGAGAGAGAATGAGAGAGAGAGAGAGCATGAGAGGGGGGAGGGTCAGAGGGAGAAGCAGACTCCCCGCTGAGCAGGGAGTCCGATGTGGGACTCGATCCTGGGACTCCAGGATCATGACCTGAGCCGAAGGCAGTCGCTTAACCAACTGAGCCACCCAGGCGCCCTCAAATAAATAAGATCTTTAAAAAAAAAAAAAAAAAAAAAAGCTCTCCCCTACCCCTCAAATTATAAACAGTATTTTCTAATATTCATCACAGTTATTTCCCATCTCATTGTTCAAAGTGCCATCTTAGGTTGACTAACATAATTTTAAACTTATTGACTAAAACAGACTAAATTCTCCCACTAATGTATTCAGTTATTCAATAAAATTTGAGTCACTAACTCTGTGGCCAGTTTTCCTAATTTTCATGAATACTTAGTAATCCTAAAAATTATTATAAAGCAAAGCAACAGAGGGAGAGCTGAACATGGCCCACTAAAGCTAGTTAATGACCTTCTACATTGGCTATAAAAGGCTACTGCCTTAATGCAAATGAAGTCTTCAGGTTCATTTAAATCTATAGATACCATCAAAACATAAAAGGGAAGTTTATTCCAACTGATTAGCTCACACCTCATGTTAATGAATGACTAATCCCCCCTCCCATTAGATTGAGTGTGGAACTATGTAACCACTAAAATATTTAGATACATGCTAGCCCTCCGAAGATTAGCAAACGTCTGCTGCTTTGGTTATTTTGCTTTACTTTTCAAGTTTATCTATGCTAATAAATCATAACTCTAATAAATTACTAAATAAACTTGCATTAATAACTAAGGTCATTAAACTCTTCTGACTCTGGCAGTCATTTGGCCAAAGTAATGGTCTCCTGCCTATTTTGTCATTTCATGAATCTGGAAGGGAGGGTAGAATAGTAACAATTTAGAATGGTCAATGGGGGGATACGGGAAGGCAGAGGCACCTGGATGGCTCAGTCCGTTGAGCTTCCTGACTCTTGGTTTCGGCTCAGGTCATGATCTCAGGGTCATGAGATCAAGTCCCTCGTCAGGCTCTGAGCTATGCGGGAAGTCTTCTAGAGATTCTCTCTCCCTCCCTCTCCCCCACCCCCACTCATACTCCCTCTCTTGCTCTCTAAATCACTCTTGAAAGAAAGAAAGAGAGAGAGGAAGGAAGGAAGATAGGTTGGTTGGTTAACAGGATGCCAACTGATAAAAATCAAGTTTTAGGTTTTTAAGCACACCACTGTCTCTATTACTTTGTTTTATGGTTATCCAATAGAGTAATCTTGCCAAAAGATGTTCAAATGTTACCCTAACAACAAATACAGAATACCTAACCTTGTTTCACCCTACCTAACACCAGGATTGTTTCCTACAAAAAAACCACAGCTTCAGATTCTCCACACTCTCTTCAAGCAAGCACAGACTGAATTTATCTTAGGTTCTTTTTCTTCAAAGGCACACTGGCATTAGATAGATCTAAATCTATTGCTGGTATCCTTTAATTAGATTCACAACAAATGTAATACTCTTCTTTTTCTCCAAATACATTTTTAAAACCATGACCGCTGCAGGTGCTTCCCCAACCTTTAACACACTCATTACCATTCTTTCAGTTATTTATCCATCTACAGTAAATACTGCCTATTATTTTGTCAAGAACTAGGAACAGAGTTCACAATGGTTCACAATGGCAAAGATCTTGCTCTCGTATTTATTACAGCATCCTACCACTGACACCCCCAGATAGAGCTTAGCTATACTATTAGCACTTACAACCAAAAGTCTGAAGAGTCTGAGCTTACCCAACCACCAACCTTTTAATATAAATTATCCGTTAAGGAAAAATCAAACAAGGAAATCACTATATTGATGAGAAGAGTCAATAAGGAAGCTTAACTTGAATAACATCAATGTTTCCACTGAGGAAAAAAATATATTTCAAATTAATGGACACTTTACAAATTTAGACTAACTGGTAAGCAATCTGTAAAGATTCAAATTGTTATACAATTTAAAAAAACTATTGCCTTCATTCATATGTAAGGAGTACTTGCAAAGATTATACAATTTTCCCTATTTCAATAGTCAATCTCCAGGTAATCAAGTCTTTTCCTGTTTAAATTATATACAGAAATTCTAGGTAAAGTCTGTGATTAGCAAAATACTTTGCAGAATTAAAATCGACTCATCTATCATTTGTTAGGAATTTTGAATTATCGGAGTCCAAATTAATACAGATTTGATTGTGTCTTCTATTACCTACAGTTTTATGGAGGTAACACGAATTTTAGAGAAACTGCCTCTAATATCATGTACTTAAACAGTGGCAATGTTCAGGTTCTTATCTAAGAGATACACCACCTTCCCTTACAATGTTGTTTTAAGAAATAAACTAAAATATATATTAAATGCTTAGCACCATGCCTGGTACACAGTTAATTTTTAATATTTAAAAAGTTTGTCAGGAATGGTGCTTGAAGCATGGAGGAAGAACAAGTTCAACATGTAATTAACACCTAACCCTAAACAGCTTAATTAAGTGAACTAAAATTATAATGTGGTAAGTGCTATAATAAACAAATATAAGCACCAATGTTTGGGACAAGACTGGGAGAGGTTAACTGACACTGAGAACGCAAGGACATTAGAGCTGGCCTTAAAGAAAGAGTACTGAGTTCAAAAGAATGGAAGAAAGAACATGTCCTTCTTTTCAGCAAAGGCTCAAAACAAGAAAGAATATAACATGCGCTAAGAAATGTCTAAGTCTGCAAAAGATGAATTATAAGGAATGTAAGAGTGAAATGATGGCGATCAAGCTAGTCAGACAGGCTGCAACCAGACTCTCAAGTACTTGCTATAATCTTACTAAGAAGTATGGACTTTATCCTGTGGATAATGGAAAACTATTAGAAGGAAAAAGCACAATCCAATCTATATTTTATAATGACGCCACCATATGTGAATAGTCAGGGTAGAAGGAAGCAGAGCAGTTATTTATAAACAGGTTTATTTCAAGAGAGATGTCCCGAGTTTCAATAATGGTAGTGGCAATACCCAGAGAAAGGATATATACATGTAAGATACAGAAGGCAGAATCCAAGATTTGTTGATAGGTAGGTAGGGACGAATGCTGAAGAACAAGAAAGAGCTGGGAGGACAGTGTAGTTACTTACTGAGAACCTGCGAATAAGTTGTGGGGAAAGGGAGGAATCTGGAACACACCAAGTGCTTACAGAAAGGAAGCAGATATATGTAAGAGTTAGAAATAAAGACTTGGGAGTCACTTTTGTAGACAAGACTGCCCAGCAAAAGAGAACATGCTGAGCAAGAAAAAAAGAACAAAACACAGTAAAAAGCTGAACAATACTGGTATTTAAGGGGTGAGAAGAGAACTAGGAAAAGGCTAGCAGTATCCCAGAATCCAGGGAAAAGAATTTTCAAAAAGGAAGTAAGAGTTAAATGAACAAGAGATAAAATGAGATAAAGACTTTTTAAAGGCCATCAGATATTTTTAACTGACCAAGACTTTAAAATAAAATTTCTGTGACCAAATAATCAAAATTTTAAGAATTGAAGAACCATTAACATCCTTTAGAAAGTACTACTACATTAACAATTACTGCATTAATTTAGATTTCATCGCTCAAGAATTCTCTTTACTAATTTAATCTGCATCAGGGTAAATATGACTTATACATATGAATTCTGGTTCAAACCATCTTAGGGGAATCTAACAACATTTGGAACAACCTGTTTATAACGTATTAAGCGCTATACGATAAAAGTATGTGGCTTATAATATGTAATGAAGACTACAGAAGAAATTCAAACATGCATAAAAGGAAACGAGAAGCAAAAGAAATCTAATTATGAGAACTCTTTGTCAGCAAATTAAATCAATGTGAAATAATGAATCAGACAATAGATTAAAAGCTTAAAGACTCATCAGATCCCTGTAGCATCTCCTAAACCCACAGGACATTTAAGTTTCTCAATATTTACTTATGCTAATCTGCTAATTAGTCTGCTAATAGGTCTGCCCATAATTTATTTACTTATTGCCTTTTAATTTCCTTAACTTCTTAAAACACATTATAACGTGTTAAGTTTAGAATTGTGAGTGGTCTGTGCAAATATACTTATCTCCTCACTCTGCTTCTGTTATGTGTTACCTCCTAAAGTAGTTGTTGCCACAATTTTTCTCTCTTTTGACAAGCTATGGTTATCAGCACTGAGCTGGATAAACACAATTAGAGTTACAAAGTTATCTTCTCTTCAGATGTAAATTCTAATTCAGACATTAAGACTCTATCTTGTGGCCCAGAACACAGTTTTCTAATTCACAAACCGAAACGAATAGTTGCATGTTATGCAGAAGTAACAAGTTTTAAAATGTCTCTATTCGGATCAAATTTTAATTAACAGAAAATTGAGACAATACCTAAACTAAACCATCATGACAATGATCACAAAAACTAAAAACTACTTTATACAAATATGAAGGGACAGTCCTTTGACTCTGCTAAGTTAGTTAAGCCATTACTAACTTATAAATTAAGCACTTGACTTCAAAGTGTCAAAGGCAAAAAACAGTTCTAAGGCTTCATAATTAAAAATTAAAAGAAAAAAATCTAAATATGGCTAACTCTAGACCTAAATCTATGCAGTAACATTCTAAAAAACTTTAAAAAGAATTTATAATTAAGAGTCTTATTCAAGCTAATGGAGATAATGTAATATAATCAAAAATTCAGAAACTACAGTTCAACGTGCAGCATCTAGTAAGAATGGCATACCTTTTCTTTCTGTTTTCTGTGCAGGGACAGAAGATGTGGGTGTAGGCAGTTTTGATAAAGTAGATGCTCCATTAGCATCAAATGATTTCTTTGGCTGGTGATCAGACTGTAGCGTAAATGGACTAGAAGGAAGAGTGCTTGGGGTAGCAGTTGGATGAACCACTGGTTTGATGGGGTGCTGTACTGGCGTAGAACTACTGTGAGTCTCTGCTCTTGGCAGTCTGTAGTCTCTGTCATTGTGTCTGCTTGTTTGAGACAAAATATTCTGTGGGAGCAAACTACTGGCATCACTGGAATGCTTGTCTTCCACTTTAGTTCACAGTTCGAAAAAAGAGATGTAGGAATGACGGAAGGGGGAAGAAAAAAGATTACGTTAGAATCCTGTCTTTAACATCAGCTAATTTAGCAACATACTTGTATCTTGTTATAGAACTGCAAGCCCAGTTAGTGTCTGCAGTTTTAGCTCAGGTCATGATCCCAGGGTCCTGGGATCGAGCCCCATGTCGGGCTCCCTGCTCTTTGGGGAGTCTGCTTCTCCCTCTTCCTCTCCCCCTCCCCCTGCTCATGCACGTCTCTCTAATAAATAAAATCTTTAAACAAACAAAAAAAATCCAAATACTGAAAGAGGATTTTTAGCTCAACTCTAAGTAATCTATACTCATATTTCAAGTGGGCTACTAGTTTTGGGGATTCTTTAGAACCACACCACAGTTCAAATAAAACATTAAAAAAAACAAATCAATATATGTGGAGTTCTAACATTTTACTCAAATGAAAAGTTTTAAGTATTTTAAAAATATGAAAAGCAAATGGTCCATTCTTTTATTTTTTTTTTTTTATTTATTTTTTTTTTTTTTTAAAGATTGTATTTATTTATTCATGAGAGACAGGGAGAGAGAGAGAGAGAAGCAGGCTTCCCGTGGAGCAGGGAGCCCGATGTGGGGCTCGATCCCAGGACCCTGGGATCACAACCCGAGCCGAAGGCAGACGCTTAACGACTGAGCCACCCAGGCGCCCCTGGTCCATTCTTTTAAAATATTGGCCATGGGTTCTAATAACTGAATTACCCACAGTGGCTCAATAGCAAAAGAATATTAGCTTTATTAGTGTGATTTTTCTGAATACTAAAGTAGCTCATTAGTGGTCTCTAAAGTAGTCTGTGCTAGGGCTTACATGACCTCATTTTGGGATGGCTGAATTTATGATGAACTGTGCATTCAGTAAGTAAATCAGTTCATATTTTTGATAATGCTAACAATACCAGTTAGTTATAAACTCAAGTTATAGATAATGCTATCTGAAAATAGAAGGCCTACATCCGGCAGCAGAGTCAGAAAAATCTACTTGCTATTACCAGTTACACTAAAAACATTCTCTTCCAATTTAAAGTCACAGAAGTATTTAAACCTCAGAAGTACTGCTGCTTCCAAAACGAGTATAAGGAAAATTTCAATAATCATGATAATAAAATTTATATTTATCGAAAAAGCTCTATCCAAAATTGTAATAGTCTAATCAGTAACTAAAAATTAAACAACTTTCAAAGTAGAGAAACATCTTAAGATTCAAAAGCACATATATAATAATATTACCAAAGGATGGAACCAATTCATGGTTCCATCAAAGGAACCAATTCATGGTTCCTCCTAGTCTAGAGACGAAGACAGCACAAAGAAGGAAGTATGCTTAAACTACAAGTCAGTTTCCAAACCTTCAGTGCATAACTCCTACATGTTACACTGAACAAAATGTACTGGACACTGCCAAAAAGTTTCAGTTGTATCAATAAAAAAAAGTCTTTTGACTTAAAAATGAAATTCAGTGTTATAAATTACACATATATTAACCTTAACGGAAAAAATGAACAAACAGATTGAGCTATCACAGAATACAAACATCTGTTGTATATTAACTCATCGGTGAACTATCAATTTGCATGCACAAGAAACTTAAGAAATTTTATTCTACAAGTTCTTCCTGAAAAGAATACTGCTACAATAGAAACTTTTAGGGACAAATAAAACAGAAATAATACCATGCCCAATTCCCACCAATCCTGTCACTTGACTACCAAAAACTGGACACCAAGAAAAATCCCTCTCAGTTCCTTATGACGAGTCAAAGTATCAAGCAAATGTACTCAGATGAAAATTAAAGCTGATATTTCTTCAAACACTTGTAAGCTTTGGGGGAGAAAAATGGCAGCAGCATTACAGGAACTAAGGAAGCTGTAGCTGCAACAGCTTTCTAGGATTCACAACTCTAGACAAAACATAGTTAATGCAGTGACTCTACTCGCACCCCCACAACAAAGACATTTGGCAAATGTATGGAGACATTTTGGGTTGTCACGACTAGGGAGAGAGGAGGTGTGCTACTGGCCTCTAACATATAGAGGCCAGGTACGGTACTCTACATCCTATGACACAGGACGGCATCCCACAACAAAGAATCACCTAACCCAAAATGTCATTAGTGCTACTGTTGAGAAACCCCAAATTAAGGTTTCTCTAAGCACAATCATTCTATGAGGCACAAATTAAAGACCATGAAAACAATCTAGTAACAGTAATACCAAATTAAAAATTTTATCCATAAAGTTTTCAATGTTAAGTTCTGGATAACATTATTTGCTACAGTGCAAAAAATAATTTTCTACCTTTATCTTTTTAACATATAAAATCTTTCAGTCCCCCCTCCCCACTTTTATTGGCAGTTACAAACTACAAATCTTTAGGTCTTACCCAGCATGAACACCAATGGACACATGGGAAAACTCTGCCAACACTTTTTGCATAGAAAAAGTTAAGCACTTAAATGGCTTAATGACTTCATTACTACCACACTTAAGTATTTAAATCAGTTGACCAATTAAGGAAAAATAAAAGGAAATATAGCTAAGGTTTTTCTCGACTATTACTTAAAACTGAAAAAGTGAGACACATGACTATAGTTCAACACACAAATCAACCTACTGACTCATCATTTGCACTTCTAGGAATTTGGCTATAGGAGGAGTAAGTGGGCAAAGATAGAAATCACAGCACTGCTGACAATAGGAAAAGGCTAAAAACCACCTAATAAGTATCCAGGGATAGAGGATTATTTATTAATGAGGGCACATCAAAAAAAATAAAAAATAAAAAAGGAAAACCATGCAATTTAACACACTGACTTCCAAACTGACACAGAAACATTTCCTTGAAATACTACTGAAAAGGTTAGAAACAGTAACATATAATCCCATTTTTGATGTAAAACATATACATGTGTAGTTTTTATACAAATTTATATACACACAGAAAAAAAAGTATACGTCCCCAAATGTTCCTGGCTCATAAAATTAAAAAACGTTCCTTATTATTTTTTAATAACAAACATGCCTCACTTTTGAAATTAAGGAGAAAAAAGAAAAGGAACCCCTTCATTTTTTAAAGAAAAAGATGCACACAATTTAAAAACACAACTCTAGGGGCGCCTGGGTGGCTCAGTCGTTAAGTGTCTGCCTTCGGTTCTGGTCATGATCCCAGGATCCTGGGATCAAGCCCCGCATCCTGGCTCCCTGCTCGGCAGGAAGCCTCCCCGGCTTGTGTTACCTCTCTTGCTGTCTCTCTGTCATATAAATAAATAAAATCTTAAAAAAAATAAGTAAAAATAAAAACACAACTCTGATTTTATTTCCTTAAAAATGGTTTACTAAAAGACAAAAAATTACTACTTTCACTTCCGACAATATTTCCATCAGATCTTTAATTACTTCCTTCATTTACTCTCCACCTCAAGGGAGAAGGAATGATAGGGTATTTTGGAAAGAATAAAGCAGACACACTAGGCTCTTATTTTTTTTCTCTCTGGGAACCTTCACACACTAAGTGAGAGGCTTGGCCCAATATCTAAGAAAAAGTGATTATTTTTATACCCATTTGCCACTCCTCCCCCATACCCCCTTGTATTCCTCTGCAGTTTTGTTCAGGAGGACCATAAGCTGGATGTTATTTTTTTTTTTAACCTGGAGAGGAAAACCTTTACCTCATTTCTAACTGCCTGCCAGAAGTCACAGTTACAGATATTAAGTAAAATGGAACTAGAACCCAAGTCTTCTGTCTCAAAATGTAATAGTTTTAATTTCCTCACTTCAGTACTTTAAATCATTTTCTAAGAATTAAGTGCAATTTCACTAATATAAAAAATTAAATGTTCCAAGGAACATATCGTAAACATTCAGTGCTGAAGAACTATGTTATACTTTACTATCTGTTTCATCTTAAAATTTCTCCTGTCAAAAAATCAGTATCCCCTGCTGAGACCAAATACATCCCCTACTTAAGTTACAGGAGGAAGATACAAATGCTTAAGGTCCAAGAACTCCCTGAACACATCTCTCAAAAATTTTTCTGAAAATTTCAAACTGTGATAAAGAGCCTAAGAATTCTATAGTGGCATTTAAATTCTATTCTAGGCAAGGGAAGCCACTGGGAATAGAATACCTCTACTAAAAGCTCCAAATACAAACTTAATTTGAATTAAGAAATAAATGTATGTTACTCATATTGTCCCACTTAAGACAAAATCTGACCTCAAAAAACATTAAGGTATGCCCACAGTATGGAGATGTTATCTAGATCTATGATCATGATAAAATCAGTTTCCAGATATAAGGATAAAAAAGTTTCTCACTGATAAACATAGAACACCAACAGACACTTTGATGTCACTATCTGTGTGTGACTATTACTCAATTATTAGATTGAAAGACTCACTGAGTTTTGGAAGGGATATCACTGTCCAGTTTAATAGGACACAATTCAGGAAAGGGGGGAAAACCAAACAATTCCAGTTTTAAAAAAGTCAATCCACAATATGAAATTTTGTTTTCCACCAATTCAACTGCATTATAGCCATTATGAGTAGTGATGAATATATATGTGCACTATTCCTTTGTGCACCCTTTTTCTTTTCAGGAAACAAAATGGTGAAGGTTAGGAAGACATATCTAACATAAAAGAAACCTATGTTTCTATTACTTTAGTTTACATATGTAAACAGCTATACATACAGATATAAATATATGAACTATAGGAGTGAATCAAACATCATGTTGCTTCAAAGAAAAAAATTAATACTTACTTCCACTGGCAAACCCACTAGTGGCTGTTGCTTGCATCACCTCCCTTCTGTAATCCCTATCTTTTGGGAAGCTATTAACTGCCATCTTGTTTGCTTCTTTCTGTCTCTGTTCTCTAAAAATAAAACATAGATAAACCCGTAAAAATTACATCAAGTACAATGAGTTTACATGTAACACTTCAGTCAAATGCTCAACAAAATGGTATATGGAAAATAAAAGAACTGAACACAGCCATAATTATCAACTGGTGTCGGAGATGAGACAGGGCTAACAGACAATAATGTTTCTCAATGATGGTCATATTACAGCAATTATTTATAATGTCATTGACCCTACAGCCAAACTCTCCAATATTAATTCTACATATATGAAGGAAACATATTATACTTTAAGAATTATGAAGATTTCTATTACAAATTATAAGGAAGATACATTAAGTATAGGTTGATATAAAATCTTAAATATACTGACGGTTTACAAGGTCCTTGTGGACAGTTGCATATCTGTCCAAGTTTTTTTTTTTTTAAAGTTTCTTTTTTGTTTTTTAAAGAGAAATTACAGAAAACACAATGGGCCAACTACAATTAAAGAGGGGAATGATGCGTTTCACTCTAAGAAACCTACACTCAGAATGTTCTAAAGATGTAAAGCTGTAAAATCAAGAGTAAGAAATATTTTTCAATGAGTAAGAGCAAATACCTTTCAAGCCACTCTTTTGGTTTTTCCCATTGTGAAACTTCTGTTCGACAATTGTAGTAGTATTTTTTCCCAGAAGAGCTAATATGCTCAGACCAGTCATCTGCAGAATCATAAGGCTTAAAAATACATTTTTAAAAATTAGAAAATATTAAATACTATTTAATCACTTACTATGAAACATCAAGAATGTCAATGGTTTTCAAAGCATATATAAGGGAAAAGGGAAAAGACCATGAAATAAAAGCATCCAGATCTAAAATATAATTATCTGTGTATATATATCTTAGAACACCTTAGTCTATGAACACCTTAAAAAATAACAATGGAAAATCCTGCAAAATATGAAATTAAAGAGATTAACAGACATTAGTTTATTAGGCACAAAATGAGAAATGCAAAATTAACATCTTGACTTTTTAGAAAAGCATTACCAAAGTTCCCCATTATTATAATTTTATTTGCTGAAATCCAGTCACATGGGGGGGGCAGTTTAAAAAACCCACAGTCAACTGACTGATTTGATGATATGACAGCACATCAGTTCTAAACTCATTATGCACGATAGTGCTCACATATACTATTAACAGAGAACAATCTGCCTGTATTTACTGTTACTTAGTGAAAAAAAACACAACATTTAATAAAACATAAACACAAAGCTAATTATTATCTGTTTCACTGTCACAATCCATGAGATGTGGTGTCAGCTAACCCTTGTCTCACATTATGGGTCAGCAGCATCACTCATTTCCCTGTAACAAAAACCAGCCTTTCAAAAACTCTCAGATACATTCTCTTTAGGTATTTTATAAGTACTGTAAAATTATAAAGAAATTAGAAAAATCTGAAAGGAGGCCCAATTTTCCATGGTATTGATATAAAAAGTATAAAGTTTAAGTGCACTGGGCCCAGGAAATCTGGTAGAATCCCAAGGACACTTGAGATGAATTTCTTGCCTATTTTGTCAAAGGAGCTTGAAATGATGTTATACTTTGGTAGTCTACACTTCTTCTGGGTTCACCAGTGTACAGTGACACAATTTTAAAGTCTGAGGAAAGAAACGAATTCTCATGCCCTGCTGACTCAGCTTTAATTTTACCAGCTAGAAAACAAGCCTAGAGAACGTACAAGTTGTCTACAGGTCACAAAACTAACTGGTGATGGAAGAAAGGATCAAATCCTAGGTTTCAGGATGCCCATTATTTCCAACAAATCAACACCAATTCTCAAAATCCTGCAATAACTTTGAAGGTACATGAAAAAATATTGCAGATTCTGCCACATTTATGCTCTTGGGATTATACCTCAAAATAATGAAGCGATTGGCAATCAGCCTTGTGCCTCCAAAACTCTCATACCAGGGGGAAGTTAATTCTCAACCCTCGTTTTCAGAAGTAGGCTACAACCAAGTTGCGGAAACCCAATCACAGAAGGCCAAATTCAGAAAGTTCTCTTTCAACATTCACCACTCCTTGTACCTAAATTATTATACAAACTGAACACGTCTATGGATATCTGGCAGATTTGGTTTCCTTGGGAAGTGGTTATATGGGATTGATTACTAGTTTGATCTGAAGAAGTAGATTAAGATTTGAGGCAGGTGGACAGAGGACATCAGAGTATGGCAGAGTGGTCTACACATCAGTGCTCTTCAAAGCGATGGTTTTGTGAATTTTCTGAAGAAGGTAAGGAGCAGGCATCAAAATATATATTGACATACTCTTTCCCTCGTCAAGAGTCTCACTTTAAGAAAAAAAAAATTCAGCTCAAGTAAACAGTATACTATTTAATGACAGTTAATTTACATCCTGGCATAACCTCCAGGACAGTTAAAAGTTCACAGACCAGAACCTTGAAGAGTCTGAGTCTATTAATACTGCTCTGATTGTGCCCACCCAATCTCAGATTAGTACAAGTTAATGTCTTACTTAACAAAATGTGTTTCAGGGTAGAGCATTATAGTAACATAGCAGTAACGTTAGCTTATTTTCTCACCCCACTTCCATCCTCAAAAAAAGGTTAAGGGGGCGGGGAACCCTTTTAGTAATGAGGAATTTTTTAAAATGCTGATGTGCAACAGGTGTTACTGCTTTTCTTATATATTTTCAACTTTATTGAATTATAACTGACAAAACTGGAAGATAGTGTACACTGTGATGATTTGACACTGTAAAGGATTTCGCCTATCTGGTTCATTAACACATCCATCACCTCACAGATTTTGTGAAAACATTTAAGTCTTCACTCTCAGCCAGTTTCAATTACACGGTATAGTGTTATCAACTATGATCACCATATTAAACATTAGATCTTAAGTTATTAAATTTGATTAAAAAAAGAGTATCTACAACTAAGAACCAAACCCCAAAAAGGCCTGCAAACACTTCAAATATTCTGAATTAGGCTTGATGTACTTGCCAACACAAGCACTAAGGCAGCAGTTTTCCCAGTGTTGTCCAGAAACCTCTGAAGGACCCCAAAAATCATTTCAAAAGATCAAAACTATTTTCATAATAATACTAAAATGATTTTGTCTTTTTCTTCCTCATTCTATCACAAGAACAGAGTGGAATTTCCCCAGATGCTGTGGAAAGAGATTTGTTATCACGAAAGATTGAATGCAGAGCACATGTGAAGTTCTAGGTATCTCCTATGAAGACAGGCATTAAAGAGATACTATTCGTTTTACAAATAGTTATTTTTCATAAAAACATTATATATGCTAACATGTAAAGGGTTTACAATCAACTGAGTTTAAAATTATCTTTCACGTTTTTTTAATAAAGATTTTGAGTAAGCGAGACAGTGAGAGCAAGAGCACCCACACACACACACACACAAGCAGGGGGAGGGGCAAGGGAGAAGCAGGCTCCCCGCCGAGCAGTGAGCACGACCACGACGTGGGGCTCCATCCCAGGACCCTGGGATCCTGACCTGAGCCAAAGGCACACACTTAACCAACTGAGCCACCTTTGCGGCCCTCATATTTATCAAGTTTTAATTTTTAAATATGGTAAATATTGATAAACAAAAGCTCTCCCTCAATTCAAAATGTCTTTTAAGTGTGCTTTTCTTAAAAAAGCATCTCTTTCTGCTCTCTCTCTTACAATACAGAATCCTACTACTTCTTCCCCAAGTGAAACGATGGAAAAGAAATGGTTAATCCTGGAATTAACTTACGAATTTTTAATACGGAGCCGTTCACTGAATAACAACATCAAAAACGGCATTTACTATAATAAAGAATTTCATGGAGTCCTAAGAGTTCTGATAAATTTCTAATTTTTAAAAATTAAGGAGAGTATCTTCAGGCAAAGACTGGTTACAGAAAATAAACTTTAGAGCCTCAAGCTGAAAAGCTCCAAAAAATGCAGAAGATAATTTACATGGTAACAAGTGGCGCTGGAATATAAATGCAAAGTCACCTGTGACTGAATGTAAAGTATTTCCCAGCAAATCAAGATTGGTGGATACGTAGATGATATCAATTATGTGTTTAAATGGGAATTTTTTTTTCTAAATGAAGCAATTCAGAGGCCTCTTAAAAATCACAAATAAGCATAACTAATCTTAAAACAAGCTACCTGAGGTAAGTCCTATTATGATTTAGATTAGGAAGGACGAGGCATTCAAAAAGCTTTTCCTAAATAGTTATCATGGGCTAGGCTCTGTGTTAAACCACTATAAATGTTCATCACAGGACTTAGGGAACTACATGTGAATACCTTAATCTAATACTGAAAAAATAAGGCAACTTCAACTCGACTATCAACAGTTGATAAATATAAATCACCCATACAACCAAATGTCTGTGTAGATAACTAGATAATACTGTTACTGATTTTCAAAGACAGATTTAAAGCCTGAAAACTTCAGAGAAAAAAGAACTACTTTTTAAATTGTTTTACTTACTACTCAAAAAATTCCATTAGAAGTGATTACAGACAAAAAGGTTTTAAGTAACCTGCAGAAAGGTTCAAAAGCTAACTTCTCAGGTAAGATTAAATTTGTAGTTTATAAATAATATGTTTCATGCCCACTGGGCATATTATAATAAAAAAGACTACTTGGAGATTAATTATATACCTATAGTTGAAATTTACGGAAAGGGAAATCCTGATTAAAACATGTTAACACTTAATGCATTCAGGTAACAGTCTTCAGCTTCCACCCACAAAATTAAATCCTCTGACCCCATTTATGATTTGGGTCGATCAAGCTTATCTGCCCATTATTTATTCTTTCTGATTTCATGTTTAATCCATGTCTTAGAAATCAAAACAACCAGAATCAGTTTTTCCCGAACTAAGATTTTTTTTTTAAGCCAAAACAATGTCCACATGGCCTGCCACTGTAACTATCAGCAGACAAATACCAAATTGGAATTGTCAGTGATAAATGGAACTTTAGTGTTTGTTACTTTGTAAATTAATGGGGCCACTCACCACAAAAACAGACTCATTCTAAAATCCTGACGACGATACACCTTACTGGAAATAAGTCATCACAAGTAGTTTGATGATAACACCTGTTAAGGTTTACCAAGCTGTTGTCTCAGCCTCAACACCACCACCACCCCCTTCTATACTGTTCTGTGATGCTAGGGCAAATTACATTGTTTAGTCAGCAGGCCACCTGTTAGATTCTGCCAATAGGAGGCACCGAAGTTAAGACTGAAAGGCACGAGAAGCCTAAAAGCCACAGCTGTCTCCAATTTCCAGCTCTCTGCCATATGCCCCAAACCAGAACTAGCTTCTTCATACCATTCACAAGTACTATCACCAGTTCCATAGGGCTCCTCCTCTAAGCTATTAGGTTCTAATAACCACAACCTCTTCCTATTGTACTCCAGCCCTAAGGATGAATACTATATACTCTATGTGTATTACCTTGGTGTTCCTTTTTGTTTTTTTCAGTCCTCGATAACATGCAGTATCTGCTTAGCCAATCCTGTACATAAAATTCTGTGCTATCAAATTTTCTGTGCTAAAATAACTAGCATGTTTTGTTTTCCTACCTAGACCCTGAGTGATACAATATTTATCTAAGTTTATCTTTATGAAAATGCTATCATTTATGTCTTGATTTTCTTTGGAAATGTACTATCCACACAGCTTCAATAAGGGCTAAGAAATAATCTAATCCCAAGGACCCTTCAGTGTTAAGGTATGATGATCACCCAAATATCCAAGGCAAAATCTGTTGGATTCAATCTACACTTCTATAGCCTTCTAGTTGTTCTTTCCTTCTTGTATTTTCCACACTACTACCTGATGAATTTTTTAAATTCCAACTATCAGGTTCCTTCACCAATTATATCCTTCAATAGTTCTGCACTCCCTTTATATAAAATTCATATTCCTTGGTAAGATACACAATTTTTTGTGATCTAGCTCCCACTTATCTCTGTAACCTGAGCTCTTGCCATTCTTTCACGCTTTCAAAATCCTTGCAGTTCTCCAAATATACTATGTTATTTCACACTTCTATGTCTTTGTAGATGCTATTCCCTTTCCATAACACACAAATTCCAGACCTCTTCAACTAGCTGTTATATTCAATCCGCTGGGGAGTGTTACTTGTACTTTAATACCTTCCTCTCATCCAAGCTTGGAGTTCCCCTTTTGAATGTTCCCAAAGCAACTTTAACATGCACTGTTTCAACTGTTTACTCTGCAGTCTTCACCCCAAGTCCAAAAGTTCCTTTAAGATGGGCCACATTTTCTTAGTACTATATATCTACAACCTAGCATATGCTTGGCAAACTGAAAACTTATTAAACTTTTGTTGAATGAATGTATTAAAACTTCCATTTGAACCCTGACTTTAAAAAAATCCAAGCTGAGTTACTTCAGTTTAGAAATACCTAAAATTCCTGACTTTCACTGCCTTGAGGACAAGAATCTTTACATCACTAGTGTTTAGTAGGGTGTGTAATACACAGACGTCTGAATATTATGTTTTAAGAAGTGTATATATTACAGAGTAAGAATAAGCTCAAGGTAAACCACTTTAAGTAACTACAGAAGTTTCATAATCTATAGTTCTTTGTATCTCAGACATGGTAAAATTTTGGTAAAATTTTACCAAATGGTAAAATTTTGCTCTGTATAGGAAAAGTGATGAAATAATACCAAATGGTATTTCCTGACTATTCTCAGTTTTACTAAAAAGGTCAGCTCATTACTTCAAATATATTTTAAAAAGGTCAACTTTAGATTTAACAAGACTTGGTGGAGGAGTTTTTGGGGTTTTTTTTTTGAGGGGGGTAATAAATTAAACACACACACACACACACAACCCCCCAAACCAAAATTGGGCATGTTTATATACTTACTGTATCTGAAGTTTTGCTTGGATTATTGCTTGGATTAGAAGAATGTGAATTTGAACTATGAAGAGCACTGTGGTTGTGTGAATTTTCTTGTGGAGAGTAACTGGTCCCTTAAAAGAATAAAGACCAAAGTGAATTATAAGTTGTATTTCATGTTTAATTTCAACTGGTTTCTATCATACTATTGATCACTGTATATCCCTAAATCATTTTACATAAGCATCTGGAATATGTACATATTCATACTTCTTACACATAAAGTATTTGTAAGCCTACTAAAGATGTAGCTTAAAGAGCATATAGCTTACATGGCTGAGAGCCTGTTATGTATAATTAGATGAGCCAAACCTCATCAATATCATTTCTAGCAACTTTTTAAATTTTTTTTTTAGATTTTATTTATTTATTTAAGAGAGAGAGACAGAGATAGTGAGAGAGAGCACAAGTGGGGAGGAGAGGGAGAAGCAGGCTCCCCGCAGAGCAAGGAGCCCGATGTGGGACTCGATCCCAGAACACCTGAGCCGAAGGCAGACGCTTAACCGACTGAGCCACCCAGGCGCCCCCTTTTTTTTTAAAATAAAAGTTTTATTAGGGAAAGACAGAAACACAACATAAAGAAAAAAGGCACAAAAATTCAGTGATACAGAACCAAAAGTTATAAATATCCAATATGTTTTTGCAATTATTTTTCAATTTCTTAAATAGCCTCTGCAACTTGATTTTAAATAGTTTTGCCAATTTTTCAACTAAAACATTATTAAGAAGGTTAAATCTTATGGAAGGTACTCTCTTTCAAGATGATGATGATGATATCAAGTCTCCTAATAACAGGACCAACTATAAGAACTGCTTAAAAGTAATTCATGAGTTCTATAAATAATCCACACATCTCAAAGACCATCAGGGATGATAGTATTTACTGTCTTAAGAAAAGCCAAGGTATAAAAACAAAGACTTGCAAAAACACTGATTAAAGATACAAAAAGGTTCACCATAAAAGTCTAATTGTATTTCAATTTCATTACTTTTTTTCCCAGCAACAACGTACCATAATTCAACTTAAAACAAACTACACTGGCAATGGTATGAAGGCTACACTATAGTGAACAAAAAGTGGTATGAGTAAATATAAATGGTTGAGTGGTCTAGCAATTAGTCACCAGTTAGAACCAGAGTTGTTTCAAGTAGTAATCATTTAAGAATTAACTATTTCAATCAGCAAGGGAAACTAAGTAGATAAGAAAAGTGAACTGGGACAGACAGATGATGACTATAAAATTTCAGACATCCAAGTGGAAATGTCAGCAGACCTACAGAGCACTAGGAATTCAGAAGTGATCTGGAAGTCTCCTCCATTGCGAGTGAAAGGCAGGGAGGGGACTTTGCCTTGCATAGTATCAACAAGCACTATGAGCTTGGACTGAAGTAAGACTATGGCAAGAGAAAAGGCAATGGCCAATACCTAACCTTGGATTAAGGTCCAGTTTATAAGGGAAGCTAGAAGCAGATTCAAAGACCCAAAAACACTAGTGATGTGACAAAAGACAGTAGAGGGTTACTGAAGAACGTGGCATCATGTAGGTGGTATAACAGAGGACATTTCTCAACAAGGCTACTGCTTGATGACTTTACTTGTTTTTAATTTTATCTTGCTGTATGGCATGTATTTATATAAAACACCCTAAACTTTAATACAGCAGGCAAAATATTCTTCAGTAAACATTGTAAGAATAAACACAATCAAAAAGAAATGAGTCAAGATAAACTCAGTGGGCAAAAAAGTTAACACAGGGCGCCTGGGGGGCTCAGATGGTTAAGCATCTGCCTTGGGCTCAGGTCATGATCCCAGGGTCCTGGGATCGAGTCCCGCATCGGGATCCCTGCTCCTTGGGAGCCTGCTTCTCCCTCTGCTTCTCTCTCTCTCCCTCTGTCTCTCATGAATAAATAAATAAAATCTTTAAAAAAAAAAAAAAGTTAACACTGCTGGCCTAAGACCTCTATCCTTAGAAAGGCCCACTTGCACAGTTGGCCCTTGGCTGACATGTGGGAACCTAGATTTCTGGAGCATTCCCTTAAGAGCTAACAGTTGCTCACTGTGCCTAAGATGTTTGTGCGTACAATATGGTTTATGCTTAATATATACTTTCCTATGGGAATCCAGATTTTTGGTACATGCTAGGTAGAGGTGCCTATGTAACAAACTAAATCCAATAAAAATTTTGGGAACTAAATCTCTAATAAGCCTCCTTTATATAGTCAACATTTCACAAATATGGTCACAATTCATTGCTGAAGGAATGAAATATGTCTTGTGTGACTCTACTGGGAGAAGACTCTTGGAAGCCTGCATCTGGTTTCCTCCAGGCTTTGCTCTGCATACCTTTTCCCTTAGCTGACTCCGCTTTGTATCTTTTCACAGTAGTAAGTCATAGCCATGATAATGACTGTACACTGGGTCCTGTGACCCTCTTAGAGAATCACCAAACTCCAACACACTCATTTACAAAGAAAAATTAATACTCCCAAGTTTTTAAGAAAATCTTAAACCCTATGCCAAAATTTGCACTTTTCAGATGTAACTCATTTAAAAAAAAATCAGGTTTACAGGACAATACAGATAAGAAACTGAGTAATATATACAAAGAATGTCATATTTATCCATCCCTAGGAGAGCTGAGATTCCCATTGAAATTTCCATAAACATGTCGGCAATAATGAAAAGGTCAATTCTATAGATTGAAATGAATCCTAGAATAATCCTTTAAGAAGCCTGGGTTAGATGCCCTGACATTTATTTGTATATATTCTTAAGCGAGATGACCTACACTTAAGACTATGAAATAAAAGTGCCACATTAAAGATTTGTTAAAAGACACGAGAACTGAAGTACTCTATAAACGTAAGGTATATTAGGAATGAAGTCTACTGATCTCTAGGTTAAGATCCAGGAATCTACTCTACTCTAGTGTTATTCTTACTATCAATGAAAATTCAGAAAGTGACAAGCACCCAATTAGTTAAGCTCTTACCTCTGAAGAAACAGTGAATACTCCACCAGTCTGACAGATGGTATCAGACAGCTTTTAGGCCTAGCATATGTTTTTTCAGAGGGCATAACACACTGAAAAAAATGCAAGTATTGAGGCACCCTAGCCTAAGACTTTAGAGACAAGAGAAAACTCAATCAGCTGTTAAGAGGGAAGACATTTTCAGAGACAGAAGCTTTTTGAATAGGGATTAGAGTCTACATCCTGTGAAATAGATTTATCTATAGACCACTTAGCAAAACTAACAACTGACACTTAAAAAAGAAGTGAGAAGCAAGATTAAGATACAGATTATTTTAGTAAGGGACTAAGAATAAACTGACGTTCTTAAATAGGATCCAAAACTAAGTAAAAGAGGTTTTAAAGAAAGCATGGTATGGTATAGCCAATAAATCTTTAGATTCCAGCCAGAAGGATGTGCTTAAGAACTGAACACAGGGCAGATTAGCCCCTAAATAACATGATCATACTAAGTTACAGCTAACTCTCCTTAATAAAAGCTACAATTTATATTATCTTCCAAAGTATTTTTGGGAGGTATCTCATTTGAACCTTTTAATTCCTCCATGTAGTTCTTTCCAAACTGAAGTTAACAAGTTGAAAAGCAAAGTGATTATACACACCCTACCCAGCATCAGATTAATGATGATGGTGGTTAGGATTTTCCGGAGCTACATTTTCCATACCTAATATACAAAGTGCTACAACACAAAATTTCTTTGAAATCTCCTTTTTATTTCAAAAATTCACATGAGTTTTTATTTCCTACCCTAAAATGAGTTTGTATGTTTAAGGATAAGAACACAAGTTTTTTTTTTTTTTTTATTAACAGTATGATGTAGGTCTAAGACTCAGAGAAAGAACAAATGATCTGTGGGTGCCAATATATCCAAAGAACAGAAGAGCCATGCATAAAACTTGAACTCAGAATTTTAGTACTAAATCAGTGATTATTCAAGTGCACAAAGAATGATAACATATATGCTGTAAGAGATAGTCTCATGGATGCTATTTGGCCCAAGAAAGTAATGGGAGCAAAAGCTGTTTATATGGTCTGGTGCCCTTTATGCTCTCTGCATATTACCAAAATAGGGGCTCATACTTAAAAAAAAAAATCTATTTGAGGAAAGTAGTATTTATGGATTAAGTGGGAGACAACTGATTTTTTTTTTTTAATTTTATTTATTTATTTGAGAGAGAGAGAATGAGAGATAGAGAGCACGAGAGGGAAGAGGGTCAGAGGGAGAAGCAGACTCCCTGCTGAGCAGGGAGCCCGATGTGGGACTCGATCCCGGGACTCCAGGATCATGACCTGAGCCGAAGGCAGTCGCTTAACCAACTGAGCCACCCAGGCGCCCCGGGAGACAACTGACTTTAAATGACAGGACTAATGAAGCAAGTCTTAAGGATTTCTAAGGAAAGGATACTATTGAGAATTACTTGGGTTTGGGGTGGGGGAGGTGGAATAAAGCAGTTATATGTTTATGCTTGGGCAAAGTTCTCTCATCCAGTGCTTAACCAAAGGCAGATATAAAACAGAGATGCTTTAACTTGATTGGATGCTAATGTCAGACTAGAATCCAAGAATCAGCAAATTACAATCTGCTGGATGCATGTTTTCGTTAATAAAATTTTATCAAAACATAGCAACAGCCAATCATTTAAGTATTACCTATGGCTACTTTTTTCTTTTAATTGTGACAGTGACTGTGGACCCACGAGACTAAAATATTATCCAGCCTTTTAAGAAAACTTTGCTGGGGCGCCTGGGTGGCTCAGTCGTTAAGCATCTGCCTTCGGCTCAGGTCATGATCCCAGGGTCCTGGGATCGAGCCCCACATCAGGCTCCTTGCTTGGCGGGAAGCCTGCTTCTCCCTCTCCCACTCTCCCTGCTTGTGTTCCTTCTCTCACTGTGTCTCTCTCTGTCAAATAAATAAATAAAATCTTTAAAAAAAAAAAAAAAGAAAACTTTGCTGATTCCTGGATTAGACATTAATCTAAAATAAGCAATTAATTTAACGTAATGCAATATACGGACCTCCCTGACAGAATCTTCAATATTT